TTAGCCTGCTATTGATCGCCAGTTTTCTTAATAGTGTTTATTTACATGTTTAATCTATGCTTTTATCTTGGAAATAAAAATAAGCTATTGAGTTATTTATTGTAAGTGTCTTTGCTTGAGATCTTTTTTTACTGATTGCCCTTTTTATGGACATAAAGATACAGTAATTTATAACATAGTTTTAAATCATTTCCTAAAATATATTCGTTGTCATATATGTTGAGTAACCTTATAAACTTGCTGGCTTTATGATTATTTTGTAGATAAAATGGCCTTAGATAGTAATCATTCATTTGTAAGTAGTGTTTATTTGCTTTTTATATTTTGTCTGTATATTTTGTTTATTATAGTGTCTATTTACGCAAACTTATGAGTTCCTTCGGACAGTGAGGAGGTTGCTTGATCATTGCTATATCTTCAACATCTATGTAATACTTATTAGGGACTCAGTAAATGTTTAGTAAGTGAATGAATAGAGTAAAATCCAGAACCCAGGAAGCCATGTGTACTGTTCCGAGAACAGAATGGTAAACTATATCATATGTTGGCAATGGGGCAAACAACATGCAGACACAAGTAGTGAATATATCTAGCTGTAACTCCGATGAATGAGTTCAGTAGAGTTATAGGACAAGTTACACAACAGAGCAGAATTGAGGGGTAAAAGTCATATTCAATAGGATTGAAGACTGAATAGTGAGGAAATAGAAAACAAGTTGTAAAGTTCAAAAAATTTTGAGAGATAAAAATTTGAGCACTATAACTGGAAAAGGGCACAAGGTCAGGGAAGGCTTATAAATTTTATTATGAAAATTTCAAACCTGCATAAAAGTAGAATAGAACAGTTGACATCTTTATGCCCTTTGTCTGTATCAGTAATGTTAAAATTCTATCATACATATTTCATTTACTTTTCTTTGGTTGCTCCAGTGATTTTATCAGGATGTTTCTGCAATGCATCTCAAAAAAGAAAAGAGTGAGAAAGATGCTTTTTTGTAACATCATAATCATAATTTAAAATTAATAGTAATTCTTTGATACTAGGTAATAGTTCTTACCTGCTTCACTTCAAATAAAATTTGTTTGAATTTGGTTTTGGTCAAACTAAGTTACAGTGGATCATAGCATCTCTTGGGTTTCTTTTGTCTGGAGAATAATCCTTTAATGATGAACTGGCTTAATTTATGTAAGCTTTTATAATCTTGATTGATAGCTTTGCTTTCTTATTGTGTCATCTCTATTTTTAGTGTCATCTGTAAATGTAAGGCAGTATAAATGCTTCATTGGACTTAGGTTCAGTTGCTTTCGTGCACACCCTTCATGATTGGCCCTGAGCTTTGTATTTTGTCACATCATGATGCACGTACTGTGTCATTTTCACATTCTTCGTCTTAGAAATGCTGACCCTAAAGGAAGTTGATGTCACTCTGATGTATACATTGAAATTTTCCTTTTAAATTTTATAATATGATATTATGCATTTATGGTTTTTGCTTAAATTATTTATTACATTTATAAAGGGTAATTTTCTAACATCAGTATCTTTAAACATTGGACTATTACACATTTTCTGTTGTTGGTAGTAATGCAATACATAAAGGGTGTCAGAAATACTCTGTGAACAAGAGTTGTGAGGACCTGGGGAGGGCTTAGTGCACAGCTACCTGAAAGCCTGAAACAGGAGTAGAGGCTGATTAAGGAGCTTGCCAAAGCCTGCATAGAAAGAATACATTTTAGATTCAACTGCTGTGAAACCTGTATGATAACTGTAACTAGTTTCAGGAACTTATGCATTTTCAACATTGCATTGTGAAATCAAGAAGCAAAGTAAGGGCTTGGGTTTTGGCTCAGTGGTATAAGTGCCTGCCTGACAAGCTCGAGGTCGTGAGTTTGACTCCTGGTTTAAAAAAAAAAAAAAAAAAGAAGCAAAGTGGTTTCCCATATCACTTTTCTGTATTTGACAGTGACCATTCTTGGGATCAGTTAAAAAATTTTGTAATTTGTCCCTTAAAAATGCAATTTAAAACTGATACCCTCTTATGCATCTATATTTTAACATTATGCAAAATACAGGAATGCAGCTTCATATAGCTTATTTTCAGCTTTTGTTACTAGTCTGTTGCAAAGAGAAGTAAATGCTACTGTTAAGCAAATAAAATGATAAATAAGTGGCAATTTAGTTTAGACACTAATGGAGTCTAAAAGCCTTTGAAATGACAAAATCTAGCAACTTTTATGATTTATAGACTCATTTGTGTTACACAGTTTGGTCACATACCTGACAGGATTCCTTTTTGTGATTTCCTCCTAAAAATTATGGTTTTGTCTTGCTTGAGTGAAAAGGCCATTAGTATGCAGTAGAAGAATATGACAAGTGTGTCTTCTGAGGATTGTAGTGTTCTCAGTGATAGATGCTTCAGATGCTTCTTTTTTGCTTTCCAGTTTTGTTTTTTCTTTCTTCTTTTTGAAGTCGCTCTAATAGAAATTATAGAATTTCACCATCAGAGCATTTGGACTGCTAACTGTGAACCAAAAACTATATTAAATTTTCTATGCACATTGATGTGTAAAATTTAATTTTAGACAATCATTTCATTGTGGTTGAGTGATTTCTATTTACTGTTTGTTAATATATATGATCTGAACAGTATTGGGATTTATGGTCAGATGTGAGATGTATTATATCAACTCTAAATTTTAATAACTATGGGTTGTACAAGGTCTTTAGCTGCGTAGTGCTATGTTTTAGTTTTAAAAATCCAAGTTAGACTCTTTGGATAGCCACATAGAAGTGTTCGGTTGTTGTTCCAAAAGTAGTAATGCAATCTGACCTATGTTTTGTGTTGTCTGCTGAGTACCCACACTTTGTAGTTCCTTATTGAATAATTAATACAGTCTTACAGAATCTCCCTTGAGCTTCTTTATAAACTGTATTCTTTTACTCAAGAACCACAATTGCAATATGGAGAAGAGTTAAAAAAAAAAAAGTGAGGCCTGAAAATATAGCTCAGTGGCACAGCACCTGCCTGGCAAGTGCAAGGTCCTGAGTTTGATTCCTGGCACCAAAAAAAAAAAAAAAAAAAAAAAAAAGAAGAAGAAGAAGAAGACGACGACGAAGATGAAGAAAAGTTAAAAGAAACAAGAAAAGTTAAGTTAACAAACTCACATTAGACTTTTCAGATGCTACGCTTTGTTACAAATGACAGGTATATTTGCTCTCTATTAAAATTGTTCTATAACTAGGAAAAGTTTATTTTTGAATATTTGTTATATAAAATACGTTTAATTTTTATATATCCCTATAATTATTTTTTCTAATTCTTGAGCTCTTCAATTTTCTAGAATGATAATATTTTATTATTATTTTAAATGTAAATAACTAGAAAATGGTTTATATACCATAACTTTTTGAAGCAACGTAAACTTGTGATTATTTTGAATATTTGTATTTTCATAACCTTGCCTCTCAAAATATTTTTTAAGAATATTTTACAGATTCCTAACACATGGAATCAGAAAGAAAGAAAGAAAGAAAGAAAGAAAGAAAGAAAGAAAGAAAGAAAGAAAGAAAGAAAGAAAGGGAGGGAGGGAGGGAGGAAGGAAGGAAGGAAGAAAGAAAGAAAAAGAAAAGCAGGCAGCATGCATGGGAGTAGAAGAGAGCCTGCTATTTTTAGTTTTCCTAATCCAAGAGGTGAAGGTAGGGGAGGGGAGCACTCAAGGAAGAGCAGTGAGGATAACCCACATGTGTCCTGCGCATGCTTGGAAATACCATAATGAAAAGTTCTATAAAACTAGTAGATACTGAAATACACTTAAAAATTTTACAGAGTGGTGTAGAATTTTGAAACACTAAACATCAAAAGGATAAATCATAGGTAGTTGAAAGCATTCATATTAATTCAAAAAGAATTGACAAACTTTGAAAATCATCTTTTGATTTTTTTTTACAACTCTTTAGAAAAGAAAGATTTCTGAGAACTGAAATTATTGAGTTCATTTTTTCTTTTGGGACATGGAGCTTACCATTGAGTCTCAGGCTGCTGCAGTAAACTTACAGTAGTCTGAAAAACTAATCACTTTTTCTCTTTTCTTTAATGTATATCAGTAAAACATAGTGGATTGCAGAACCTGTGTGAGTGACCCAGCCAATTTCATTTTAGTTCCGTGTACATTTTATCTGTTCAGCAAGAGACAAACATCATTACTAATATTTTTATCAAATGCTCATGAATTTCAAATTTCAAAAAATTTTAAATGTTCTTTTAATCCTGATAATTGGTTTTTATTAAAATTATGATCATCAGTAAAGATGGCATTGATTCATTTACTGAGGAAATATTTATTGTGTGCATGCTAATGTACCACAGACTGTAGTAGTTTCTGGAAGTACTGCAGTGCAAAGCAAAATTAGCTAATTGTCCACCTGAAGATTTTAGTTGTGAAAACATGAAAATAAATATAAAACATCAAGTAGTAACTATTACTCTAATTAAAAGAACACACAACATAAGTAGAAGGCGTTACAAATTTAGAAATTTACTTACTATGTAGACTTTCCAATGGATTCACCCATGAACCCACTATACCACCCATTATAATACTTCTTTGCTTTTCATATTATACTGTTTTATTTTTATTGAGTTTGATGTGCCCATCTATAAAGAATAAGCTCTTTGAAAAAACAGGTCCATAGATTTTCACCTGTGTGTCTCCAGTTTCTACCACTGAGGTCTTGAAATGAAATGAAATCTTCAAATACTCAGCTTTTGTTATATTAAAGAATTCATGATACACTCAAAAATTCTCTGCATCTGTGATTCTGCAAAAAATCCAGAGACCCTTTTTGAAACAGTGAGAATAAAATGAATGAAAATGCTAAAAAGGATATGTATGTAGAGCTCTACCTTTTCTGTTACTTTATCTTATTGGCATTACAATATTCTTTAGCGTAGTTTTTAAAAAATGGAATTGTTTGCTCAAAATTGATCTTCTATCTACAGGTACTACTGAGCGTGTGTGTTTGATCCAGGGAACAGTTGAAGCACTGAATGCAGTTCATGGATTCATTGCAGAAAAAATTCGAGAAATGCCCCAAAATGTGGCCAAGACAGAACCAGTCAGCATTCTACAACCCCAGACCACCGTTAATCCAGATCGCATCAAACAAGTGAGTGTTTAGTTGGGAAACCAAAGAAAAATTCCACAGCATAGTTCCTAACATGTGTTCCTTAAAAAGAAGCCTTAAATTTTTTTTCAAACATATTAAAAGTATACCAGATATTACTTAGTTATTAAAGGCTACGAAGGGCTTTTCCTTAGATTGATAAATTTACATGTTGATTAGTTGAATAACCTCATTAGTGTTACATTGATGAGCACGTTTGTGACTCTTAGTTGCCCTTTTTAAACTTACAGACACAATTTTTTTTTAACTTATAGGAACAATATTTTAAATCACATCATTTTTTAAATAAAATATAAAAATTGAAATGAAACTATAACCTCAAAATTTCCAGTACCCTGTTTTTAGTGATACATGTTCTATAGTTATTTTGCATATAGACTCCTGCTTTGTTAATTGTCTTATTCAAGGTTTTTATTAAAAAAATTTGTATAATTTTGTAACTAGAATTCAGTCCTTTGTTGGAAATCAGCTATAATGTTTTGTGTATCTTGTATAATATTTACATATATGTCATAAAGGACCAATGTTGGTTTTTAATGTGTGAGTATTTTGTAAAACAAAAAAAATTACTTGAAAAAATCCAATGTGAGTTTTTAAGATTAATGGTTAACGTGGTGTAGGGGAAATGAAATTATTTAATGTTAAATAAGATGAATTCTCCCAATATAAACAATTTTAAATCTGCATATCTGTTTGATCCTTTATTCTCCTAATTGTTGTTTCTGCCTTTGTTATTTTATAATTAACCTTTTAATGTGTGATTTAGCTTTACTATCAACAGGCTGTGCTTTCAAAAGAAATGTATTATTCTTAAATAATTCACAGATTATTTGGTTTACAGAATATTTGTGTGCATTGTAATAAATTTGAAATATAGCTCAAAGCCTAATTAATTTCATGTTTCTGCATTGAAAAAACTATATTCAACAGTCTTATTAATCTACTATAATTTTATCCATGCATAGATTAATACAATGGTAATTGTATATAAATGTAAAATTAGTAATTAGGTAATATTTTCAAATCAGTTTTCTGTTCTTTTATTTAAACTTCTTCCATGTTTAAAACATGAGTAAGCAGTTCTATTCTATATAAAGGGGCAGGGATTTAGCTCAGTAGTACAGAAACTACTTGGCAAGCACACAGTCCTGAGCTTGATTCCAATATTGAAAAAAAAAAAGATAAAAAAAAAGCTTTTATTCTACATGAAATTTTCCATACAATACTTTGTTGTTGTCAGATGGTTCAATTTATATAATTTTCATAATTTTTCAAGGAACTTTTCAGTAGCAGCTTATAAATATTTCAAAGCTGTAAATATTAGTGTTATTTTCCATATTTCCCAGCCATTTAATAGCTTTAAAATGTTTGTTTTTATCTATGTTAGGTGAATACAAAGACTAATTTAAAGGATGACTTGAAAGTGATTGGGGAACTTTATTCAGATTTTTAATACTAGATGTCTTGTTACAGACCTCTGGGTTAAAATCATCTGAGACTAAAAATTTATAGAATAAAAATCAAAGTATACCATCTTCTAACTTTCTACCTTAATCTAGCTTATTACTTCCCTTTTTTGTAACTTCTGTGAGAAAATTCACATATTTCAGATAGGGGTGAACATCTTGATTTTTTTAAAAGTAAAACATAAAATTTAGTGTGAATAGAATGATATCACCAACAGTGTATTTGGGTTGTGATATAATTTTATTTTTTATAAAAAAAATAGCTATTACTACCAAAACACTGAATGACTGTCAAAATTACAACTTTATTTAGGACGATGTAAGACTTAACAAATTGCCATATAGCTATTGCCAGTGAAGATTTGTAAGGACTAGAACTTTAAAAAATTTGGTTTGTTTTTATTTGCTTTGTTTGGATAATCTTACTTACATTCAAAAGAAAGGTTAAAATTAATGTTGAATGACTGAAATTTGTATATTTGAATTCATTTTTAAAGCTTCCTAGTTTTAAAGTTTGAAATTATTGTTGATTTATATTTTCATATATATAGTCAATAACATATAAAGAAGTATAACATTTAACAGGATTTATCAAAAGACAACACTGAGTCAGTATATATAATGCTTGTCTTCTTTATAATGTAAAAACTGAAAAATTTACTTCATATGTGTAGAAAAAAAGTAGAACATATATCTAAGATATTTTAGGTTAACTGATTTTATACTCTAAATTTAGGATTCTCTAACATTCTAAGTATCCAGTTCATCAATGTAGTACTTTTACCACAGGTTTAAATAAATCAAGTATATAAATACAGATGATTATCACTTGATTTGTGAAGAAATGCAGGTTGTACAGTATAAAATAATTATGTATAAAATAAATTATTTTTCCATAGAACAGATGAAAGCATTTTATACACTGTTTCTGTTTTAAATTTTTATTCAGTCATAATAAAATTTTTGTTAGATGATATTTTTCTATTAATAATCAACATGAGATTTTCATTTGCTTTGAGTTTCAGTTCTAAATGTAATTTTTAAAACAATAGAACTGGACTCCTAAAGACATACCACAGAGGTAGAACATTTAGCATGTGCTAGGCCCTGTGGTTGATACTTAGCACAACCCTTACAACCAGATGAGTTAGGTATGATAAGTTCAAAGCTGACCAGGACTACATGATGAGACCCTATCTCAAAAATAAATGAATAAGCAAACAAACAAATAAATAATAGTAATAATTTCTGAAATAAGGGTATAGCTTAGTTGTATATCACTTGCTCAGCATATGTAAGACTTAGTCCCAGTACCTCAGAAACAAGGAAAAATATTTTTAATTTTTACCTATTGCCAGATTATTAAAGAATAAAACTACTTTTAAAAATTGCTGGGGATCTATAGAAGTCTTAACTTCATGAATTCACGTTATGAGTTTTAATAAGCTATTATATTCTGAATTATTTTAGATAGTTGATAAATGAGTACATTTAACATGAATCACATTATATCCAGATAAGCCTACTTTTAGTTATTGAGTCTTCAAATAAACACAGTATCTTAGGAACATAGGCCACTTATCTCACAGGTCTTTCATGTAGTAGAAAGATGTAGGGAACTTTTGTTTTGGTTTGGTTTTTTGTTACTTGAGGCAGGCTCTCACTATGTAGTGCAGGCTGGCGTTGAACTCACTGTGTAGTCCAGCTGGCCTTGAACTCACGGTAATCCTCCTGCCTCAGGCTCTCCTGTTGGGAGTACAGGCATGCACCACCACACTCTGCTGTCATATAACAGAATAATAAAATCTAGCAGGATAGCTTTAGATCCAACTTCAGATATTAGATGTTGTTAACTATTTAATTTTTAATATAGAATTTTTTGAAAAACAATTTTCATTAGGAAAGTGGTGACTAGAAACATTTCAAGAATTATCTTGCTTTTTAAAAGGTCAAATTAAGATATGAAAAGCACTGTCATTGTAACTTTGGACAGCTACATACATTTGAAAATGTCCATGTAAATGATATAAAAGCACATGAAAGGTATGTAGGCTACTGTGGGAGTTAACAATCTGATAAAGAAGCAGAGATTTGAACTGGATTTTGAAAATTGTACAAGAATTACCCAATTAAAGAAACAAATATCATGTATCTTGAATAGTAAGAATTCTGTCTTAGCAGAATTATAGTATTTGTGTTGGAATTTAGAGAAAATTAATGTTAAATAGGGAAGATGGAGCCAGATAATGCAGCTACTTGGATGTCTGGCTGAGGGTTATCTTATAGACTACAGATCATTTGTAACGTTTTCCAAAAGATCTCTTAACTTTTCTTAAAGATTTTGAAGATAGTAAAGGGACCTTTGCATTTTGGTACTGTGTGCTGTTCCCAATAGACTCCATGAGTAAATGCAGAAAAAACTATGGATAGTGACAGAGAACCTGAATAGACTAGTGTGTCAGAAGACAATTCATGTAATGGAAGAATGGGAGGATAGTCAAAAAAAATCAGCTAAATGTGATAGTTACATATTATTTTATGCATTATGTATATTGCGATACACAGGTTTGATAGAAATGTAAACAAGTATTGAGTATTGTTAGTTAATAGTGGTACTGAATTAAATTGAGATTTGTTAATTGCTACTGTCGTTAAAACTGTAAATATTAGAGATTCTTTACATGTAAAACTGTAGACTTGCTTGAGGGCAAGCTGTATTTAATCATTTATTTATGGTGCAACGAAATTGTTATATCATAACAAGACTTCATCTTATAATTTGCCATGACTTTTTATTTATTCCAGAAAACCTGGTTACATCTACATTTAACTTAGGACTTACTACTAAAATCATTTTTAAAAAAGTATTTCATAGTTCAAAGGATCTACTATGTTAGAAATATTAAAGTACTTCAATTTTCCTTTGGAAAAAGTAATTTGCTTTCAGTGTTTAAGGAATTCTTAAGCAGCCGCTCATTATGTGTGCTAAAAATACCTTTTCTATAGGAGGGGGAAATGGTGTTAAAAATGACATATTCACTATTTGAAAATAAAACAATTTTTAGAGGAATGCATGCTTTGTAAATGTTACCAATATATCAATGTATCAGTGTTTTGTGTATATTTATTCACATCTACATGATGTATAACAGAAATTTTAGTAAATGGTATTAACTTAAAACCACTAACCTTCAATTCTGCACAGTAAAAGGATATAAAAGTTTTGCTAATAAAATATTTAGAAAATAAATATTCCCCTTTATATTGTACATTGAAACATTTCTTAGGGACTTTCTCTTCCATTTTTCTGTGTGATTCAGAATATTTATCAGAACTGTTTTATTCATCTAATTAATAGAAACTTTGCAATTAATAATATTACTTTAATATATTTTCACTTATCTATTGATGAGAATAGTTTTTCTTCCTAACATTTAAAAAATTTATTGAATTGAAAACATCCTGGAATGTCTTTATCATCATAAATTAAATTTATAAAAGGAGACTTTATGCTTAGATGTATCTATATAATTAGAAAATGTGTCACATCTTCCATTAGTATATTAGCAATTTAAGCCAAATAAATATATTTAAAGACAATTTTTCAACAATTTCATCCTCACAAGTCCAAATTTTTATCATTTTAACTGTTTAGAATATTAAAATGTAGTTTGCTCAACATATTATATTTAATAATCAAACCTGTAATTATTTAAAACAGATTTATATTTTCCAGTAGTTTAAAAATGTTGCTAATTTCCTTTCAAGAAAAAAGCCTCAGAAGTTAATTTTGATGAACATAAATTGTGTCAATTATTAATATGTTTTCAACATTTTGTGTATATGGCATTTAAACAGAAAGACAGTGAAAAATTGTTCAGTTGTTTTATCTGTTACTACAAATTCTAAGCCACTTGAAAATTCTAATTTTCTGGAGTTCTTTGAGATATTTAAACATCTTGTTGAAAATTCATATAAAGGAACAAATGGTTAATAGTGAATATACAGTAGTTCAAGTTAATTTAACTCATGGAATCTTTGGCTTCTAGCAGATATTGAACTTGTTTTCTATTCAACATTATGAGAAATGTCCTCTATATTAATGCCCTCAATATGAATCTAAGATTAATACAGAACAATTTTTGGGGGGGAGGGGGGACTGGGGATCAAACTCACAACCTTGTGCTTGCCAAGCAGGCGCTTGTGCTGCTGAGCTAAACCCCCACCCTACAGAACAAATTTTTAAATGGATGTTAACTTTTCCTAGAGTATTGTATAATAATGGTGAGAAAATAAAGCTTTACAGTTTAATGCATAGAGCATAAGAAAAACAAAGTTATTAGCATATATCACAGCACAGTATTGCATGGAAAAAAATATTTAGGGAAAATTTTAGTGACTGAAATAAAGTCTGTCTGGAGGAATGGCAAGAATTTATTGTAGAAAGCAAAAATAGTAAATAAAAGATTTGAGACTTTTTTTAAAAATTGCTGACATTTTATCTCTGACTTTAAATCCTTTTTCCCTTGTTTGTGTGATATGGGGAAATTCTTGGTTTGACTCACCGTTAAACACAGTTTTCTAAAATTATATATAATATTAAGAATCAGAAATATTTTGAAGATACTATCTAAAACATGATCTGATACTAAAACAAGTCCTCATTTTTAGCTGGAAGAAAATAAGTTAACCAAAAGCTTCTGAATTTCTTACCCTTCCTTTTAACCTTAGCTAATTTATCTTACGCAAATTAGGACTGTTGAAATCTGAAATACAAAAATAATGAATTTGAACAATTTCATCTACTTTTCATCACACTTCTGACCCTTTAAAGCTATGCTTTTGCTCATATATATCAAGGTAAAAGAAATTCACATGTGAAATTTTATCTCTACACTGAAAGCCTAACCAATTTTGCCTGTTGAAAAGCATAATTTATTGTGAATTCTATTTAAGAAATGTTATTTTTCTACATGAGCGTATAATACTTTTTGTACAAGAAAAAATCTTAGCATCTTATATTTCAAGGTTACTCAGGCGTAAGTTTTTAAAATATATCAATGAATTAAGAAATACATATACTGTTATGCAATACTTTTTTATATAGAATGTATACATATATAGAAATAAACAATAAATATGGCTTACTAATTTTGTTATTGTCTTCAATACAGGGTGATGCTACAATATAATACATACTCATCATCTATACTAAATTTATTTTAGCATAAATAATACAAATATTTTAGTAAGGTTTTAGAGTACTATTATTAGTTATTAATTTGAGGTTAACATTTACATTTTCAGATGGGCTCTAAATTATTAAAAATTAATATTTTAGAAGATAATATGATATTAAGAACTCAGAACTGAAAATTTAATTGCTTTTTAAGTATGGATCCCTAAATTCATATGGAATCAGCTTGTTGGTGATGTTCAACGTATTAAGTAGGTGGATACTTTTATGCCAAAGTAAACTTCATTTCACCACTTTAAATCTCCGACTGTATTCATTGATAGGAAAATACTCCTTAAGTTTTATTCATTGAACTTCTTGAATTTTTCTTCATGACATCTCTTTTCCCCAAGAAAACAGCGGGAAAGAAATGAGACTACTATTCATGAATATGGTCAGGATATCTCTAGTACTCATGTAAGTTTTTATCAGTCACCATCATGATTTCAAGTCATGAATTTATTTTTACATGATTATGCATGCATATCTACATGCATTAGTTACTTAATTGATGTTAAATTCCATTAAATTTAAATGAATAGGAGAAAACTTTGTTCATAGGATTTTGTTCTCGTTATATTACATTTTATTTTATTTTGTTTTATTTAATAATCAGTTTAAGGCTTATAAAGGTTGATTTGCTCCTGAACTGCTTTGTTCCCAGACATTGCCATCTTCCCCAACTACCACCAAGTCCTCTCCATCTGATCCCATGACCACCTCCAGAGCTAATCAGGTACAGTATCATCCTATCATCTACACCATACCTTTCACGAGTGATTGCCTGCAAACCGGAGAAAAAGATAATGGTGGGTTAAGGATTTATTCGTTCATTCACATGTAAGGACCACAGTCAGATTCCAAATAACCTAAGAAAGAAAAAGCAGTCACTTCTAAATACGTATATACATTTTATTAACCCAAAAAGAAAAGCGAACAGATGGTAGGCTATGAGAACATTGCTGTTAGGAACTTTTGCCTTAAAATTATGATAGATGTACGGGGCACTGTGCATTATTTATTTAGCTGGTGTTTTAATCACCCTTGATATATCTTCCTAGGATTTTTGATGTGAATTATGGAAATCATACATTTAAAAATACATCATTGAGCAAAGGTATATCTTTAAGAGTGAATGCAATTTCATTTTTCTTTTTATTTGAAACATATCTTACTGTGTAAATAGTATTGGTAAAAAGCATTTTACTAGTCTAAACATAACTAAAATTGATACTTGTGATATTTTAATACTGTTTAGAAGCTCAGGAGTTGTTTTTTTTAGTACTTAAAAAATTAAAAATAGTTTTAATTTTATACTTATGAAATTAAAAATACATTTTTAGTTCAGTTTTATGATTGTTATTCTAAGAACATGTAGGTTAATCTTCAAATATGTAAATGTTGAATAATATTCATTAAAATGATTAAACACATTTTTGTTTTGTCTGAGTTGAGTTTCATTTAGGTAAGAAATGTTATTTCTTTACACTTTTTTGGTACTATAAGCCCTTGTGATATTATTTACATATCAACAGAAGCTTATCTTTTTAATATATTTTGATTGCTTGACTTAATAAACTGTGAACTATATTTGCTGTATCATATTAAATGTTGCTTTTGGATCATATTATCTTTTTTTTTTGGCCTTTTTCCTTTTTATCGGTACCAGGGATTGAACTCACGACTGCCTGCTTGCAAGGCAGGCGCTTATGCCGCTGAGCTAAATCCCCAGCCCCGGATTATATCATCTTAATGTAGAGCTCTGAGAATTATTTTGCTCATTTGTTGATTCCAATACTTTTGTAACCTCAGAAAAAAACAGAATAACTTGAAACAAAACCAGGATATTATTCTCCAGTTAAGAGTTTGATTTTTGCTTTGTAAGGCACAAAAGTGCTTATAGTGCTCATATTTTGGTATTAATAATTAAGTGAGCAAAGTACACATCTCTAGTGATAAAATCTAGCATTTATCTTTTTTAAACAAATGATACTACATAAGTTGAGAACCATACTTAATATATAAATACATGAAATTAAAAATTATATATATTTTATTCACTATTATTTTCACAAGCTTTAATTTTGTGATTAAAAAAACATTAATAAAATAACAGATTTAGGTGTTGCTCTTGAACTTCATAATTTTGTTTCTAAGCAAAAACATGGCAGATGAGCACTATACCAATAAAAACAAAACTAATGATTTTTCTTAGGATAAAAAGTAAAAATCCTGCATTAAGAAAAGAAAGCCATCTTAATAATTTTGTCTCTGAATTTATTTTTTCTTCATTTGTTTTATATGATCATGTGAAATTTTATAAAATAATGTCTTAAAAGGTTAATTATACCAATTAAATGTACTTTAAATATATTTTACCTTCCAAAAGATACTACATTGACCTCTGTGAAATCTAAAGTTCTATTAACTCAAAGTAAGTCCTTTGTGTTTTATGTTTTTTACTGTGCTACCTTCTGATTTATAGTTATGTTTTCTTTTATTCTTGTACAAAAAAGCGTACTATTTCCGGATGACATGAAACAAGATTTAAAAGAAGAAAAGAACACAAACGTTAATTCACTGAGAGACTTGTAGCTATCATCAACATTATGTTATTAGTACTTTGTAATTATTCTGCATAATATTTCCCAAAAGATTCCATTCATGTGATAGGAAAGTAAAAAAATATATTTTTTGGTTGTTCATTTAGACTTTATAGAGCTCACAGTGGTTTCTTGTGAATAGTCCTAATTAACTTAGCTTCACTGTATTGAAAAATCTGTAAGTATAAGAACAATAAAAAATGTTATATAATAATCTTGAACATTTTACAATTAAAATAGACTTTTGTTAACAGTTTTTGTTAACAGTTCTGTTAGTGCATATTAGTTTTTAAAGATTAACGCATTTCAGTTTGGCATATTTATACATGCATATAGCGTGCTTTGATAATTTCCCCATTCCCCCCACACCCCTTTGCAAATTCACTATTTCAACATGTAAAAAAAATCTATATTTCAGGAAAAAAAAGTCTAGAGCTAGTAGTTTTACAGTTTCTCTTTTGTACGTGTTTTATTAGAAGCTTGAGATTTTTATACAAGTAATTTTACATATAAAGTAAATAAAGATTAATAAATAGAATTAGATTATTTAAAAGAACATGTTTAAACTTTCAAAACAAATGTTTAGAACCATAATTAGTAGCTTTCAATAAATTTTAAATTATTTATACAGAATTACTTACTCATTTCGTTAAAATTCAGCAAAATGGTTTTATAACCAAACCAACACTCCCAAAAGTAAACTCCATTATTAACAGTAGGTTTATGGCTGTTAATTCTCATGGAATTTGTTTCTCAAATTTTAGAGAAAAGAAAAAAAATTTCAGAGTATATGCTATATACACATTTCTTCACTAAAAAATTTGAACTTACATCAAAGATGCTTATCAAAATGTATAAAATACATTATAATGCCCTTGCTATGTTTGCAGGAAAATGTGACTAAAACTGACTGTAACACTTTAAATCCATGACCACAAATTTCAAATCATAAGCCCATTTGGTTTCTTAAGGACATTCTCATAAATTCTTTTCAGTGTCTGTGTTAGTTTTTGTTTTATAGCACCACAAATTTAAGGTATAAACATCATCTGTTTATTTTCTCACAGTTTCTGTAATCAGCAGTCTGGTACTACTAGAGGCACACAGCCTAAGTTCTCTACTTCTGGTCTCACTGCAGTCAGTATGCTGGCTGCATCTCCTCTGGGCTCACCTTGGGAGTAATCTGCTTCTGTGTTTACCTAATTTCTGACAGCATTGAGTTCCTTGCAGCTGTTTGGCTAGCCCACGAGTTCTTAGTGGCTATTGGCTAAAAGTGACTTTTAGATGCCAGAGGGCATCTGTTGTCACAGCTTGACAGTTTGTGTGCTAGCAAGATGCAATCCTTTTTATTGAAACTCTTCCTTCGCATCTTCTTTTGCTAAACAGAGTGATGACATATCATATCTTTGCCATATTTTGTGAGTTATTAGAGGGTCATGGGTTCCACTTAAATTCAAGGGGACAGAGTCAATTATAAAATGTGTAACAGAAAAAAGTGCTGATAATGAGCGCCATCTAAGAATTTTGCTTGCCACTGGCCCAATATCTCTTGTTCTTCCTTCTCTTCCAACAAATACCATACTTTCTTTACTTCATTGAAAAAAAGTGAAGCTGTGAAGAGACAACTTCTGGGATGACAGCAAGCTGTACGTGCTGTACCAAAATTTATGCCCAGTGTTGTCCTTTTCATCTGTTACCTTGGGCAAAGTTTTCCCTCTCCTGTTTAAAATCAGTCATTTCTGTTGTACATTAATTCTTAACACTTTTCCTTTAAGACGGAATTCTTTACGCAACTGTGCCTTCTCCTTTGTCAAGATTTTACTTTTTTTTCCCTCAAATTCTTAATTTCAGTAGGAACATTCCACTCTGCTTACAAATATCTTTTTCTCCCATCCTAAAAGAATGAATAATCTCCTTTAATCTCATTTACCCAACAAGCTAGTGCCTTTTTCCTTTAAACTTTTTAATCCTTTTTAAGATAACGTAACTGTTATCTAAGCTCTATTTTCCCTTGATTTCTCACTTCTGTTCTTAAATCTACTTCAGTAGAATTTTGCTTCCACTGTTCCACCAAAACAGTTTCCTAAGTGCATCAGCCATGACATCACTGCTTGGTATCTCTTCTCAGCCCAAATGTTGCTTCATCAAATGGAAGCGTTCTTCACAGTTTATTGCTTCCACCTCTTTGGTCTACCTTCTATACTTGGCTTCGAGATGCTGCATACTGTTTGTTTTCGTCCTTCACCGTGAATCCTTTTCCAGCTCCTTCTCTTATCCCTAACTGCTTAATACTGGAGTGTTCCAGTCTTGGTGCTTTACTTCTACTCTATTCTTTCTCTTCATAGAATCCCTTATATGCTTCATCTGCAAAAGTTAAGTCTCTAGTAAGAAACTGGTTTGCCAATGTCTTTACCTGTTTTGTGCTGCTATAACAGAATTGCTGAGATGCTAATTTATAAAGAACAAGAAATCTTTCTCACAGATTCACAGTTAGAAAGTCTAAGGTAAAATGCCAGGATCTAAAGAGTTCTTTCTTAATGCCTCATCTGGTGACAGAAGCTAAAAGGGCATTAAAAAGAAGACCAACACTGTGTCCTCACATGACAGGAGAGAGAGAATCATTCCCAGCGGGGCCAGTTTAGACCAATGCAAATTCATTCATGAAGATAAAAAGCTTTCATGACCTAACCACCTCTTAAAAAGCCCCGTCTCCCATGTGAGTGCATTGGGATTAAGTTTCCAACACATATATTCTGGAGAGAACAAAACATTCAAAGCATAGAAACTGTTAACTACTGAAACTTAATCTTTATGATTCTTCACTTGCATAAACTTACTACCTAATTTTATGTTCATAATTTTAAATGGTATTTTCCAAAAGTTTTCCTGAAATTGTTGAAGTATGAGATCCCATATAACTTGGGCTTGCTTGTTTTTTGTCCAGTTTTGATTTCATGAGAAACTTTAGATTATATTGAATTCCCCTCTTAACATTTCCACTTGTATATCAAATGATATCTCACATACAAAAACTTAAAAACTACTTCCAATCTACTGCTTTAAAAATGTCAGGGTTTTAAATTTTGTTTACATTTGATATTCAAAAAAAGCTTCTGTTTGTAAGTTCTGGCCC